TTTCTTTAAGCAAATACAGCCAACTAGTAGTGTCAATTTATTCCTAAATTCTCAGTGTAAAGAAAAACAACACTGACAATCTTGCATATTTTATTCTCTATTTCACTGATACACTTGATGAGCTATGGACAAATTTTACTGCAATTCCAATAATGTAAGTTTGGATATCACACTTGATACCTCATTTCCCCAATGCCTTATTGATAAATCATCACTTATAGGAATGTACAGCTTGGATAAAATAAATGGTTTCTGTAAAGTCATTGTAGACTTGTCTTATTACTCTTCCCTATGCACCCAAGTCATAATTTTACCAATGTTTAGCTGCCTGGATGAGCATTGCAAGGAGATTGAGCAACCTGCTGTGCAAGAAGGTATCAAAACAAAGTACTTGACAACTTTAATTCTGTTTTATAAAGCATGCATATATCCATTATAACCTAGCAACATCAACAACATTCATCAGCAGCCTCGAGACATATTACTGCGGCAATAAGTAAAACTGGGAAAAAAGATTGCAGAGTAATAAGCACTTAATGAACAATAATATAAGCTGAATAATAAGCATCTTTTGAAACCCATTTTACAAGGCAAAACTGGAGGGAAAAAAAAAGAATACAGTAAAGTACGTAGACGTTAAACATTGCAGAGTAATCAATCAGTAAAGACGTCCTAATAGTACAGTGCTTCTTCATCAGGCCCAGTGGCGGATGTTGAGAAAGGGTCAGATCCTGCAGCTCCTGCACTGGTCGCAGAGAATCGGAATTCTGCACCAATTCCTCTAGACTGCTGCAATGTATGGGCAAATGCTTCATACTTACGTATGTCAGCATCACTAACACTCCTACGAGCGAACTTCATTGATTCCTCAAAGTGGGCAGCCTTAATTTCAGAAATTTCATACGAACCATCATCTTCCATGGCCTCAGGATTATCTCCTCTCATCTTTCTCTCAATATCTGTCTCGATATCCTGTCTGATAGCATATTTGCATGCACGTTGACATATTTCTGTAATATCAGCGCCGCTGAATCCTTCAGTGTGCTTGGCAAGTTCCCTCAAGTGTACATGATGAGAAACAGGAGATTTCCTAAGGCATGCCTTGAAAATTTGATGTCTGGAACCTTCATCAGGGAGAGGGATATAGATTAGTTGATCAAGACGGCCAGGCCGCAGAAGTGCAGGGTCAATAATATCAGGCCTGTTTGTCGCACCAATGATGAAAACAGTTTTCTTTGCATTCATTCCGTCCATCTCAGTCAGAAGTTGATTCAAAACTCTATCAGCAGCACCTCCAGCATCTCCTACACTACTACCTCTCTGAGTGGCTATTGAATCCAGTTCATCAAAGAAGAGCACACATGGTGCAGATTGGCGAGCCTTGTCAAATAAATCTCTGACGTTGGCCTCAGCCTCTCCAAACCACATGCTAAGCAATTCAGGTCCCTTGATGCTTATGAAGTTGGCTTGACACTCATTGGCAATGGCCTTCGCCAGCAAAGTTTTGCCACAACCTGGTGGACCGTAGAAAAGAACTCCCTTTGATGGAGACATGCCAAACTTCTCGAACTTCTCAGGATGCTCCACTGGATATTGAACAGTCTCTTGGAGCTCTTGCTTCACATTCTCAAGGCCTCCAACATCGTCCCAGCTGACATTCGGAACTTCCACCAGAGTTTCACGCAGAGCAGAGGGATTTATTGTCCCAAGTGCACTCTGCAAGTGGTCATTCGTTACAGCCATTGAGTTGAGTATTTCTACATCAATAGTCTCATCTTCTAGGTCAATCACATCCATCTTCTCCCTGATGCACTGTAGCGCAGCCTCAGTGCACAAAGCTGCTAAGTCAGCACCAACAAAACCATGAGTATTCTTGGAAATCTTTTCCAAATCCACGTCTTCAGCGAGCTTCATGTTCTTGGTATGAATATGAAGAACTTCCAGCCGTCCAACTTCATCTGGAACACCGATGTCTATTTCTCTATCAAATCTTCCAAACCGTCTCAAAGCAGGATCAATGCTATTTGGGCGGTTAGTAGCACCAATAACAATGACATGGGCACGGGATTTGAGCCCATCCATAAGTGTCAAGAGCTGCGAGACAATTCTTCTCTCAACTTCTCCCCCCGTCTTCTCTCGCTTAGGAGCAATGGAATCTATTTCATCAAGAAAGATAATTGATGGAGCATTCGTCTCAGCTTCCTCAAATGCTTTTCTAAGATTGCCTTCGCTTTCTCCTGCCATCTTTGACATTATTTCGGGTCCATTAATACAGAGGAAGAAAGCACCAGTTTCGTTAGCCACAGCTCTGGCTATCAAGGTCTTTCCAGTTCCTGGAGGACCGTAAAGCAGAATTCCCTTGGGGGGCTTCACGCCAATAGATTTAAAGAGCTGTGGATGCCTCAAAGGCAACTCCACAAGTTCACGAATTTGAGCCATCTGTTTACGAACTCCTCCAACATCATCATAACCGACCTCATCCAGCCGCTCCTCATCCTCCCGCCTCACAGGCTCTCCCTCCAAAAAGATCTCAGTATCAGGAGCAACAATACAGTACTCAGGAGGGTCAGTTTCAATGACCTTGAATTCGACGCTCCTCATTCCTCCCCTAACAAGAAAAAGGTCACCCTTCCTAACCGGACGATATGCCTCAGAGAAATAAGGCTGTAGATAAGCATCGAAAAGATTTCCAGTAATCCCTTCAATGGTGTCATCAATGGGTAGTATGTGAACTCTGCTCCCATATTTTACATCAGGGCATTCGTGGACGAAAACCACATCTCCAAGCCTAACCCTGAGGTTTGACCTGACAACCTTGTTCATCCGAATCCTTGGTTCTTCACAATTGACATCCGCAACGGCAATGCAGATTGTATCTCTTCTTTTCTTCCCCTTGATCAAGATGGTATCTCCATGGAAAATCTTCAGCGTCTCCATGGTTTCCGGGTGCAGAGCCACCACAGAGTTATCATCATCGATTGCTTCATCAACCAGAAGCCTGTGTGGCGATTTCTTCCTCTCTAAAATCGCTGTACTGAAATCCCTCTTCGTTTCTTGATTACTCATGGCTGCTGTGCTAATTATCACACTAATTCTGTTGAATTAAATTGGAGTGAAATATTTGATGGGATGGATCGATGCTATATATAGGCAATGGGGACTCCCTTTCCTTGTTGGAAAAGTAGTCCTTTCCGTTTCTAACTGGTGTTTCTGCAGCAGATCAACTACACAGTCCTTCCAATTTTCAAATTCAGTTCCCAACTTGAAAGGGTTTTTCACTTTCCTTTTTCTATCCTTTTTCCCGAAGTCTTTAGCATTCCTATTTTCTTTTCCATTGTGTATAGAGTTTCCTAGTGTTATCATTATTATTATTTTTACGAGTTTCCTTGGGAATTTCAGTTATTTGGAGGATTCAAACTAGTTCTACAATTTCAAGGCATTATTAACACAAAAAAAAATCTATAGAAGTTTATGCCAACAAGTGTAGATGTGGGGCTCTTTTGCCCTTTTATTTTGGGGGTTTTTTTAAAAAAAAAAAAAAAGAAAAGGAAAATTCCCGTTATCATTGCGTTTGAGCTTAATTTAGGTCAAATTTCATTCTTCCCATTATAGTTTGTTGGCAGATTTGGAAGGCAAGAAATAAAGTAATGTTTGAGGGCGCCCAAACGAGGTCTTCTGCCATTTGTCATGCCATTTTTTCAGGAATACAGTCCATGGTGGGAATTCAATTTAAACAAGGTTTTCGAGTACATTCATTTCATCATTTATATGATTTGTTGTATTCATCTAATGTTGGCGTTGCATACAAACTTGTTTGCTGGGAAAATAAGCAATCAAGTCGATACATTCTTAATACAGATGGCTGTTCAAAGGGTAATTTAGGAGTGGATGAAGGCGGTGGGGTTCTTCAGGATTCAAAGGGCATGCCTCTGATTGGGTTTTCGGCATATCTTGGAGAAACTACATATCTTCGTGCAAAGGTTAGGGCCCTCCTTATTGGTCTTCAAATATGTGTACATAAGGGTTTTGGAAATCTATATGTGCAATCGGATTCTTTGGTATTAGTTGAAATTCTTCAACATCGTATTCATTGCCCCTGGCATATTCGACGGGAGGTCAGGCAGATTTGGAAGTTCGTGGAAGATTCGGATTGTTTCTCGCACTGTTACAGGGAGGCTAACACAGTTGCTGATGCGTTATCCAATGTGGCTGTATCGCATCCAGAACAACAACTCAAGATATATGAACCCTTTAATTCGTTTCCAAGATTGGCTCGTGGGGGGCGATTCGCTTGGATAGATTAGAAATGCCTTCAATCCGGAAAATTAAACTCAACTAATCTCCTCGTGTATTTATTTTGTTGCTATTCAAATATAAAAGAAATTTTATAAAAAAAAAAAAAAACCACCCAAGTAATGAGAAAAGTTAAGTGGATGATTTAACCTTATTTCAGTGAATGTTTGTTATGTAAAAAAAAAAGGTCAAATTTTATTAAAAAACACTTGTCGTGTACAATTTGTAAGAATGCGCAATTACACATTTTATGATTGTTTATGCTAAAGTTAGGTATAAACCTAAAATTGGGTCGAAACAAGTTAAATTTAACCAAACTTTGCTAACTAATTCCAAGTTACTAATTGATGTATCATTTGAGTTGGCTCTTGAATTATTAGTTGTAGCAGCACTCGAATATACTACAATAACGATTTTGACATATTGTTGATTTAATAAATTTAAAATTAATAGATTTCGCTAACTAAAAAGACTTCCCTAATAATTTTTTTGTTGGACGAAATATCTTTATTCAAAATTACCTAGCAAAATTACTAAGTTATAAAATAATTCAACCACAGTTCCAAAAAAATTAATAATACCACGTTAAAGTACTACGATCAATACTTTAGGGTAAAATACAAAATCAATTATATCGTTCCCCATGCATCTTGCAAAATAAAAAGCAAACGACATCGCATTTAACCAATTTTGCCCTACTGCTTAAATTTCCCAAATTCCGAGTCCGTTCTGCTGCTTTGAACCCAACGGCCATATTTTTACCGGAAAAAGAAGTTCTGTTATCTTCCCTGTTTTTCAATGAACAACAACAATAAACGGGAGAAAACAACCATCAACCAAAACGACAGCGCATTAATCCAGTGCGCCGAGCTCATACTTCCTTATCTCCACCCGGTCGATCTCGCCTCCACGTCATCAACCTGCAAAACCCTGAACAAGATCTCCAATTCCATCACTCTCAGAAGATCCTCCGACGCTTCTCGAAGCTTGGAGAAGTTTCCGATCCCATTCATCAATTCAATCGACAATCAGAGCTACTCATACTTTATCTACACCGGGAATCAGATTCTCTCCGCCGCCGTTCAGCCGCGGCAGCCATGGGATTATGACCCAGATACCAGACCGGACTTGATTAATCCGGGTCATTGCTACGACCCGTTTCTTTTCCGGGTCGAAGGTGCGAAGGGGTGTGAGTGCGAGAGGGGATGTGATAGGAGCTCCCGGTGTCCGTGTTTGGATAATGTGGAATTCGGTGCTTGGGAATGCGGGCCGGGTTGTCAGTGTGGGTCGGACTGTGGGAACCGGGTTAGTCAGAGTGGGATATTGGTCAAGCTGAAGATTGTGAAAGATAGGAGAACAGGTTGGGGTTTATATGCTGGTGAATTTATTCCCAAAGGGCAGTTCATCTGTGAATATGCAGGTAGTTTTTTTTTTTCCTTCTTTGTTTAAATAGAAATTTTAGTCTACTTGTCATTCATTCATTGTTTATCAATTTTTTCATGCAAAAGCTGAATAGAATTTTATTAATGTGAAGAAATTTACATCTATGTAAGCAAATTTGTGTATGTAATAGGGTTACTCATGTACAGCTGAAGTATGGAACACTGCTTGATATGGCCTAACGATTCTTTGGACATTTGGAATTTGAAACTAGAGGTGTCAGAAAAGTGACCATTGAAAAGATTGCTAACTTTTTGGTGGGGAAGATTTGTAAATTAGAGAAAAATCTTGACAAGCCTCTGTATCTCTGATGACTTCTACATCTAATATTGATCTCAACAGTCACAGGAGAATTTGGAACCACAGTCCTTGCAGGAAATATGAAATAACATCTCAAAATCTTAAGCAAAATCTTAGAGAAAGACATAGGAAGACAGCAAAGACAAGTGTATTCACACTGAAGCCTCTTTACACTCAAGCTCTGATTTTAAATTGTTGGAGTTCCCAGGAAGTTGTTTGGGAGACTTACACTTAAACTTGATTTGTCTTCTTTACTTGATATGCCTGTTTAGGAGCTATAATAAGTGCAGAAAATTTATGGGGAATGGATTCTGGTTGGCTTGTGGTAAATAAATGTTAGTGGGATGAGCATATTTTCGTAAATTGCAATTTGACTTTTTGGCATGATTTTGAACCTGGATGGTGTTCGTCTGGTTAATTACTGATTCTGCAGGTTCTCTCCATATGCTGGAGAAAGGAAAACAGGAAATAAAGCAATCAAGGCATAACATCTAATCCCTCTAGCTGTTTCATGGGTATTAGGGAAGGAGAGGAATAACAACACTCTTGAGGAAATTGAGAGTCAAATTTGAAAGCAGTATTCCAGTCATTTCATTTCATTTTTGTGAAGGAACTTCTATTCGGGGTTTCTCAGGCAACCATAAGATTACGCCTGTTCATCTCCTTTGAGTAAACAAGAATTGATTCCTTTCCAGGGAGAGGAATAACAAAGTTGTTATGGAATTCAGAGCCCCAATTTGAAACTTAGAGATTGAAATGTTGTTCTTATTTTCTCATCTATATCTTTTTGGGCTAGAGTCCTTTCTCATAGAAGTTATGCTGTTTGTTATTTTAACAAAGTTAAATTGTAACAGTAAATTGCTGGCACTTGAATTTAAGGACTTGCAGTTACCAAATAATCTCAGACAAGTCATTTAGTGCTGTAAGCTTACTGCTTTGGTAAATCTGTCCACTGGTTTTTATTCTTGCTTTATCCGCAATGTTCTAGCATTTCAAGAGTCCATTGTTGGGCTATGCTTTTCGTTTTTTATATAAATAGGTTGTTTACGCTGTTGATTCTTGTCATTTTGTTTCTTGGTCAAAGCCTGCAATTTCTGTATTGGACTCTTTTGAAGAGTTGATGACATCATTTTACTTTTGCTCTCTTCAGCACATCCTTTGATGCATAATTAATTTTTCTATATGCTGTTATTTTGTGCAATAGGAGAACTATTGGTAACTAAAGAAGCACAATCAAGGCAGCAAATATATGATCAACTTGCATCAAGTGGCCAGCTGTCTCCTGCTCTTCTGGTCGTGAAGGAACATCTTCCGTCTAGAGATGTGTGTATGAGGATAAATGTTGATGCCACTAGAGTTGGAAACGTAGCTAGGTTCATCAATCATTCTTGTGATGGTGGGAACCTTGATACAATAATATTGCGAAGCTCTGGATCTGTACTTCCTCGCATATGCTTTTTTTCTTCCAGAGATGTACAAAACAATGAAGAGCTTAAATTTAGTTATGGGGATATCAGGCTTAAGAAGCAAGGACTGCCTTGTTTCTGTGGTAGCTCTTGTTGCTTTGGTGTCCTGCCTTCAGAAAATACATGACTTGGGACAGGTAAAGAACATTTTAGCATACAATATGGTAGAATAGTACTCCATATGGTTGTTCGATGCTTTTTGATGTTAGAATGCTTCCATTCCATGAACTTTTGAGATAAAATAGTGTGATAATGTGTTCAGTTAATGACCTCACAAGTCGTAGTGACATCTGTTATTTGATTTGGCACCCAGAACACACACAGACATGTATTCCCCTTCTGTTTGAAATCAAGTTGCTACTTTCCCCCTTAAGGCCTCACAGAAGAATATCCTAATTTATGTTATTAGGGCACATTTACGTTCCTTCATATATTGAGATGCAAGGTAGCTGTTATTTTTTTTAAAATTCTTTTTCTGGTTCATCTTTATGCAATTTTTTGACAAGACCACATTTTATATATCACCTAGGGCCTCACACAAAATAGAATTATATAATTAGGACAAACCTTGTGGAAAATCATTCTGATTTGGCCTTAAGAAACATTAGAGCAGGCCAATAATTACTAGCCCAAGTCAATAAAAATAAGGAAATGCAGCACAAAAGACACTCTTATTATGTATATTTTGACTCCATAGACACTCTTATTATTTATATTTTGAATAGTATAAAATAGCTCACACCCTATTTAAAATTCACAACTTGACCACTTTTCCTCCTCCAACAGTGTTCAAAGGCACAAAAAGAGAGAGCGCCAGAATGCTCAGTTGAGACTGGAGTGTGAAGAAGAAAATCAAGAGAAGAAATGGCAGAGAGCAAGGAAATAGATGTAAACTTGTTGCTAGGGGTGGGCACGGGTCGGGTACCGGCCCCGAATGACAATTGGCTGACCCGACCCTAATATATCGGGTCGCTATTTTTTTGACCCTAATCCGCTCCGATCGTTCTCGGGTACCCGATCTTCGGATACCCGAAAAAATAGGGGCGGGTCATAGGGTACCCGCCCCTATTTAAAGAATGCAAAATCTTGTATATGAAGAATAGGGGCTCAGTGCATCAAGAATAATAAATTTTGGTAAAAAAGAAATGGAAAACTGACGCAAGTGATGGAAGATTGGCATTCATCGTCAGAATTCAAAAGCTTTATCCTTGAACATTAACCACACTAGAAGATTGTGGCTTTTTCAGTCTCCATCTGCAGGCCAAACTTGCACATGTAACCCAACCAATTATTACCAATGGTCTATTGTATTGAGGTATAAACGGTTCGAAACTCTATTTTTTTTCCTTGACATTTCTGTATATTTACTCTCTCTGATCCATTCATGACAGAAGACGTGACCAAAAGATTGGAGTTCATCTCGCTTGCAGTAAATAAAAGATTGTTTTATTTGTCCCAAAAAAATATGCATTTTCCAGTCTTTCTTTCTTTGAAACGTAAGATGCAGGCAATGTGATGCATATGAATTGTTGGAAGCAATTAGGGTCTGGAATAGCAAGATGCAGCATTCAAGCACTAAGACTACTCAACAAATCAAAGTTTTCAACTTTAAAATGAAAAAGCATAAAAAACAAAAGAACTCAAGGCTCAAGCTATTGAAGGTCGGCATTCTCAAAAAAACAAAAAAATAAACCTCCAGATGAAGGTACAGCTTCTGCTTGAGGCTTGAGAAATCGAAATCCAAAGTCTCTGTTGAATCGTCTGCTTGAGGCTTGCAGGCTTGAGTTCAACTTGAGAAATTGAAGAGATGGAGAAAGGGAGTTTTCGAGAAGGAGAAGGGGAAAGTAAAGTGAAGACTGAAGAGTGTCGGCCACTAAAATGGAATCATTTAGGTCAGGGACCTTAGGGTTAATACTTAATAACTTAAGATATTATACAATTGCCCCTATATTTTTAATATTTATATATTATACCCCTGGATCGGGTACCCGCGGGTTTTTCTTTTTATGATCCGTATCCGAATGTTTAGGGTACCCGACCCTATTTGATCCGTTGGTAGAAATCGGATTGGATATCCTATTTTTCGGAGCGGGTCGGAGCGGGTCGATCGGGTTTTCGGGTTTTTTTGCCCACCCCTACTTGTTGCAAACAAGTTCAAGGAGAGGCAGTAATTGGAGGCAGCAGCTCAATCAGACCAGGACTAGAAGGAGCGATCACCAGTATCCCTCTTTAAGCCATGGGAATTGAGCTCCTGGTCCTTTATAGGGCTGGTATTGCTGAGTTCATGGCCACCCTTCTGTTCTTCTACATCACTGTCTTGACTGTTCTGGGGGTTGGCAGTACACCAAACAAGTGAAATTCTGTCGGTATTCAATGGATTGCTTGGGCTTTCAGCAATATGATCTTTGCACTTGTCTACTGCACTGCTGGTATCTCAGGTTTGTCTCCACATCTCCATCTTTTTCTTCCTTTTCATGTCCTATTCCATCAGCCGTTTAGTCCTGTTTTGCATTGTCTAGTAGATCTTGAGAGGTGTTTTCTGGGTATTTTTCCTTCTTGTTGCTTTAATTCCTTCTTAGCATGTCTACTATCCTGGACAGTAGTTTCTTCCTGCATGTTTTGGGAGAAAATTTTCATTTAGTTTGGGGGTGCCATGTTTCCCATAAATCCACAGTTGCTTATGGTGTAGCTTTGGTTTTTCTGCTTTCATATTATCGCCATGTTCTCTAGACTCAGAATGGTTACTATATCTATTCTGGTGTACGCCAGTTTTTGGTGATTTTAATGTGGGAAAGAGGGATAGTTTTGGATTTTCCTTTAAAGAGATGTTACTCTTCTGCTGCTTTTCCGGGTCTGCACCAATTTATTAGTGATTTTTGTTTAAAGAACAGGTATTATTGGTGTTATCTTGGATCTTCTTTTCAAGCAATGTTATTCTACTGTTAGATAACTGTTGATGTAGAAATTGTTTCTTCAACCCCTTAAAATGTTGCTCTAGAATTCAATTTCCCTGGGCTGCTTCATCTTTTTCTCTTTCAACCTAAAGCTGAAAGTTTTCCCCTTATTCCCGTGGTCTGCTTGTAGATCTATTTTTTTCTCTCTCTCTATCTCTCTGTCTCTCTCTCTATCTCTCTGTCTCTCTCTCTCTCTTTTTGTCCTTTCTCCTCATCTGTGCTAATGTTCTGTATTTTATGCTGAAACAGGAATACACATTAACCCAGCCGGGAGTTTTGGCCTTCATCTGAGCAGCTGCAGGTCAATCTTGGTTATAAGGACTTCTAGAAAGAGGACTAGAATCTACACTTCTAGCTCATGAAGAAGACAACAAAGGCTTCTCTAGCCAAAATTAATTCAAAAGTAACTTCAATGTCTGCTTAATCATTCTATTGACGAAATAAACACAAGTATTCTTAATCATTCAACATAAAGTAAATATCATAGCTTCAGTTTATTATGACGTGATGAGCTTGGAGATGATGGACATTCAATAATAGTTGGGCTTTGGGTCATACACAAAATTTGAAAGATTTCTAGAGAGTTATACCATTTTCTTTTTTGGGCTGCTCTTCCTTTGTGCCTTTTCTTCTAATACTAGAGCGGCGCGAGGTCGCGCTGGAGTTCATAGCCTATTGTTGAGGGTTGTTGGTAATTAAGGTTTGTAATGTGGAAAATGGAATCATTAGTTTATGGTAGTGAAGAAGCTTGTTGCAATTTTAAAACATTGTTGTACCGGATAGAATTGGAAGATACAAAAAGGATGAAAAGATGAGCTGATTATTGTTGCATCAAATACTAATATTTACATGAGGTCCCCTCTATGAGAAAACCTTTAGTAGCAGAAGTGACTTCCCCTAAAGTAGAAGCTTGAGCAGCAGATAGACAGAGGTAGTATATTTGCATGTTTTAGTTTTTCTAGTGTCTTGATTTTGTTCATAATCTTGTAGATAGATTGAGACCTGCATAATTGCTTTTTGTCAGTATACTAGACAAAAAGATAGAAGTAAGCTTGAGCAGTAGAAGTTTGAGTAGCAGATGTTTTGGTTTTTTGTTTGAGGATTGCCTTCTAAATTATCATACCGTATGTGAGATTAATTTAATTGACTTTAGTATTTAAAATGTGGACTACTTACGATGGTATGATGGTGGTTTGCCTTTGGGAATTGCTGTGGCAGGTCGATATCATTTAACTCGGCGATTGTATTGGCATCTTTGGATTGTTGCTCACTCCAGAGAGTTAGTATAAATGGTCAGCATCTATTAGTGTATTTATTCATGAAAATACATTTGTATAGTGTTTTTTTTTTTTTTTAATTATGTAGGTGATAGTTTAACCTTTGATCGACGAGTATTGCTTGTCTAATATGTGGCTGAATGCGAAGTGCACATCCCGTTTAACGATCTAAGGATATAAGTTCCACGGGAAGTTCGACTGGTTTCGTAGTCTTGTAGTTATTAATAGATCCGTAATCGATCCCGTGTACTACCTTGTTGTGTGTCATTGGAGCAAGACTCTACACAACCTTAGGAGATTAACATGGAGATTAATATGGTCTAAAGGTTGGACTACTCTAAGTGAAAAAGAATCTGAGGATATAAATTTTTTGGTTGTCCAATTAGGTAGCTTGGATTGTGAATAAGTACAGTACTTTTCCACTGAGAGAATACTTAGCAAAATTAACCAACGATAAATTCAAATGATTAAACTTATTAGCGAATTGAGGTGGTCAGAATTGAAGAATTAGTTTCCTTTATCTAAGAGTCAATCGGCCAAGCGTACCAATTCATCCTTGTTGATAGGTAACTAACCAAAAACAAACCAATTCAATTCAGCGCTGACTATTGTTCTTGCCACCCAATTCAATTCACAATGAAACCATCCAATGGACAACAAGAATCATTAGTACATATGAATTCTTTTGTTCAATTGTCAAAAACACGGAAAACAAACCAAAAAGCAAATATACTTCAAGCTGAACTACCAAGAATGGTTGGGCCCAAAAACCGTTTCAAAATGCGGAGAATGACCACAGCAAATATAAGCATTGAAGACAAAAAGAGCATAACGGAAAGAAGTGGAAGAGGAAGCTCTCTCTTGGGATAAGAGCTTACCTCCCTTTTGGTGGGAGTTCATCAAATTTCAAACTTTTTCAAAATTTCCCACTATTCAACACCTACCAATCCAAATTCAACGAACATCACCACTACCGATCTGGTCTGCATCAAATGCTTGTTTAATGCAGCTCAACCATCGCACTCAGAGAGCTTCTAGGAGGTCTCCTTGGAGGGAACAACAGACGTCTTAAAGTCCCCACTTTATGGTAGCTGAAAGCCAGGTGAAACTTGATTGAACTTTACTTTTTCTTGATTCTATTGCTGAGGTAGTACATGTCTGGTCGTGTTTTGGTTTTGTCTGAGACCTTTGTCTGTCGTCTTGCTGTGTAGCCAACATTGTTTAGTCTTTTTCTCAAGTATCCTCTCTGTAAGGTCGTCTTTCTGTGAGACTTTTTCTTCCGTTATCTGTTTTTCTTCTTCTCTTGGGTTTGTGTTTTGTTTTTTTCCTGTCTGGTAGTCGAAGTTGTCTTATTTCTTAAGTAAGTAGAAGGAATACCCGCTAGCATCTCTGATTCATCAATGGAGGGAGACCTGACTGAATTGTTACAAAAATTCTCCCTGGAAGGGAACGAGATATCTGGAGCTAAGTTGGAGCTAGAGGACTTTAGCAGTGGAAGGAGAGATTGTGCTGATAGTCTGATAGGGAGAATTATGGGGGAAAAAATTGCTAACTTTACGGGAGTGAAAAACTTCGTGACAGCAGCATGGAGCTACCCCAGGAACTTGACTGTAATGGAGTTAGGACCGAATCTGTTCCAGTTTAATATTCCTAATGTAGAAGAGAAAGAAAGGATAGTGACAGGAGGTCCTTGGATAATGGACAACCAAGTCCTAGTGCTGAACAGATGGTCAGAGGGAGTAGAAGATAACTATGGAGCCTTTACTACTGCTCCTTTGTGGGTACAAATGTGGAATCTGCCAGTACATTGGCTGTCAAAGGAGGTAGAGAGAAAGATTGGCGCAGTTTTCAGAGAAACAAAAGAAGTGATTGTACCTCAGGCCGGGGGAAAAGAGGGAAGACATCTTAAAGTTCTTGCCCTGGTAGATTTGTCTAAACCCCTTCTCAGAGGAACGCTGGTTAATGTAGCAGAGTCACTCAAATGGGTTGCCTTTAAATATGAAAGATGTCCGGACTTCTGTTATAGCTGTGGAATAGTTGGGCATGGGGAACGTACATGCCAAGAGCAAAGGATTTCATCAGGGACCCTCTTGGAGCATCAATAT